AGAAGCATGAATCCTTATTTAGGAATATCAACTAAAATAGAAATTTTGAGGCACATCAACCTCCAAGCCTAAAGCTCTCTTAAATCCTGCACAGTAAAGTCCAACTTTCATAATGTTTTTTACTAAAAACCCATATAATTCCATTCCCCTTGCTCCCATGGGGTATCAATCCCGGGTGGGCTTCCCATGTTGAATCCGTGGGGTGGTCCTCCATCCACTTGACAAACTAATTTTGAGGCACATTGACCTCCAAGATACATAAAAAACAGAGATAAAATCCAAAGCAGACACATGCAAAGACAAGCTAATGTTAACGGAAGAAAGATACTGCAATTAGAGAGCACCAAGCATATAAGGAATACAAAGCACACAAGTCTAGAAAACTACCACCTAGCCCAAAGCGTCTACCCAACTACACTAATCCTAGCTATTTAAACACTCCTATCTAAGGTTATATCCTGAGTAAGGGTAAGAAGCCCTAAGTCATGTCTAATGACCTCCTTCCAAACACTTCTTAGGTCTACCCCTTCCCCTACTCCCGCTCACCAACGTAAGCCTCTCGCGTCTCCGCACTAGGACATCATCATCCCGCCACCACACATGCCAAAACCACGTCAACCTAGCAGCTTATAGCAACTTTTCTTCCACAGGTGCCATGCCGACCTGCCCTCGGATAACCTCTTTCCAAATCCTATCCAACCTTGTCTGTGCACACATCCACCGTAACATCTGCATCTCTGCAACATGCAGTCAACGAATGTGAGTTTTTTAATCTGCTCAGCACTCCCCACCATACAACATAGATGATCTGACTACAGACTGTTAGAACTTAGCTTTCACCTTAGCCAAAATCTTCTTATCGCACAAAATGTTGAAGCCAACCATCACTTTTCCCAATTCGATCCAACACAATGCACAACATCCCCGTCCAACTCCTCATCCGCCTTAAATACTGAAACTTGTCTACCTTGAGCACTGGATGAGAATCAATCCGAACTTCCACCCAATATTTTGTCTCTTGACCACTGAAACAACATTCCATTAATATCGTCTTTGGTCCTACTCAATTTGAATCTATTCCAGGGAAAGGCGCCTCCAACTTGTCGTTAAGTCTCTCGCGGGTGTCATCAATCAGCACATTATCGTCGGCACCATGGGACCTCTCTTTGAACTTCAAACGTCAGGATGTCCATCACCAGAGCGAACAAGAAGGGATAAGGGCAGACCTGGAGTTACCCCACCTATACGGTGAAAGGTTCAGAGTCACCCTCGATAGTCTTTACCCTAGTCCTTGCTCCATCGTACATATCCCTAACGTCGTCCATATCCTCCGTCATACAACATCTTAAGACTATAACAATTAATTAGAGACATAAAGTGTCTAAATCCATCATGAAAAAGAAAAATGAGTGATTCTAAAACTAGTGCTTATTATATCCTATACTCCTTTTTATTGTGTAAACTTAACTTTCCATATGTGTTTTTGATGATATCATATTGTTATCTTACATCTTTATAAATGTGCATGCTTAAAATTTTATATCATTTATAACATTTACTTAAATATAATTTATCTAAAAATTAACCAAATGTCCAAAAAATAACATTAATATAGCTTTATACACACACACACAAACACACACACACACACACACACACACACACACATATATATATAATTTAAGTATTCTATAAATAAATGTACATAACCCATTAGGTTGACCTGAACTCGATGACACTGGTCAGGAACATGCAATTCTCACTTGAATCTGATGACCTATTTTCAGCTCTACTTGGCTATTTGCGACATGATTCTTACTCAATCTCTGTTTATGTTGCAGTGATCCTTGAACTTATGCTTTTTTTCGTCTTACACTATTTTACTAGGGCACCTTACTCCCTTAAACTCGCTGTCGTGAAATTCAATGTCTTTGTCAAATTTGGGGAAGAGAACTCATTATCATTGTCAAACGATACTCTGATTGATATGTGTTTCATGCCCATGCTTACAAATTTTATAGTGTAATTGGGGAAGAGAAGTCATTGTGTTGACTAGTGTCTAATTGTCAAAGGATACTCTGAGTTATATTCCTTTGGATGTCCTAGGTTGCTAAGGTTATTGAAGTTCCTCCCATTCGTGTATATGAGGTTGCAACCTTCTACTCCATGTTCAACCGATCAAAGGTGATTTTGTAGATGACCCTAGTATATGACACATATAATCCATTTTTCTTCTTGCTGCTCTGCCTTGACAAGCCAAATTATAAATCTTTTTCAGGTAGGCAAGTACCACCTTTTGGTTTGTGGTACAACACCTTGTATGATACGTGGTTCAAGGGAGATTGAAGGGGCATTACTGAAACACCTTGGAGTAAAGCGCAATGGTAAGTTTGTTATGACATTTCATAACAACTCAAACCTTTTGCTTTCCCGCAATAACATAAGTTTTTTGTTAAGGCATTTTGA